AAAAGAATTACCACTTATAGACAAATTCATTGAAGTTGTCGGGATATAAAAAATTACCCAACTTAGTGTAACCCTGCGAAAACAAAAACCAAAAATTGGGAGGGGAGAGAGAAATGGAAGCTTGTATTAATTTATTTACATATTTTTTTTGCTTTTGTTCCTGGTCGTCCTTTTTCTCTCACTTTTAACAATGGATCTAACGTGACCTAACTTTTTAAGCTCTGAAGACGAAACGTTCAGATATTGGTAGGGTGTTAGGTTCCAAACTACTGTGTTGTTCACCCTGACTTTATACATACAAACCGATGAATTCTACACTCCTTTGATTGTCAATGTGAAGGCAACTGGTCCGCTCAACCACAGCTGGATTAAAGTCTTGTCTTCCAACAACTTTGTACAATCGTGACTTTATTTTTTACACCATTTACAAAAACCACGTCTTAATGAGCCTCTATTTCAGCGTGAGGTGAATTAATCACGTCCAAAAACGGGTCTTTGTCTAACTGTTCCTACCATTACTGATTTGCCCAAATTGTCTACACAGATTTGCAATTCACCGAAGACTTGGTTGATTACCTCGAGCCATAGATTGTCGTTTAATTAGAAGACCACGAGTTCAAATGTTCCTTTACAATAGGGGAGAAAATGCTGACCATCGAGAAAATACGTTCCGTCGAACGCGTTTCCAAAACAACCATTTGTTAGCCAACCTTTTCTCCGGACCAACACAAAACCAGACCCACCCCCGGAAGAGAATTCCCCTGAACTGTTTCTTTTTGTGTGTCTAATGTGCGCCAAAAATGAAAAAGTCGTCTAATCCGAAAGGATCCTCTACAAAACGACACTTTGTTTTATAGTCCTTTGATAAACATACATTAACCAAAAGTTTATTTACATATAAAAAGGGGTTCCGATGAAACATTGCTAATATTATCACACGGAACGACAGCAGGGGGACGTTAAAATCTAGCGAATTGCTGTTTTGGAAAGGAGAAGCTTCTCCTTTAAAAAACACTCGGTAGCGAACAAAGCAGAGTGAAAGTTTTAGGTTTTCAAAAAACGTCAGGCCAGTGTCTGTTGGTATTATTTACATTTCTACACCTTTTGCTGTACCAAACGTCACCTTGTATTTCTTCAAGGATAGTCCGTTGCTAACCATCTCACCCTCTACTAAAGTCTTACAAAAATCATTTTTCGTCACATAAATTCTAGAAGGTTTCTATACAACGAAAAATCAACAGAGTACTATCTATTTCGTTCCAAAATTTCCTTTAAAAAGGTTTGAAAAAAAAAACACCTTTTGGGAATAAGAATCTAAACTCCGAACCACAAAAACGAGACCAACAGACCCCTTTGGAGTCACCACTTGATTCTGAGATTTAACCGGTGTTCCCGGTTATATTCGCGGTCGGTATGTTGTGTGTGTTCTGTGTTAAACTAACAAAAAAAATGTGAAGGAGCTAAAACAAAAAAACCAATTTGCACAACTTTGTTTGTTCTAAAATTCTTCAAAATTAATTGCACTCCAATCGACGTCCTTTCCAAAGTCCACCAAAACAAGGGCAACAAGGCGACAAACCTCGTTTTGAGACATCTTTTTTGCCAAAAAAACAAAAATTAAAAAAGTACCTTTTCATATTTATCTTAGTTACTTACGCAAGCAACTGAGTAAGACATTTGTTAGAAAAAGTAGACGGTTGAGGGGAACTTCGACAAAACTTGACGTAGGTGCTCAAAAGTCTTTTAGAAGTTTCAGACTTTTTTTTAATTTAAGTAGGTCAGTAAGGTCGCACTCTTGTGCACACAATAAGTCTTGTCTCCAAAAACTTTACTGACGTACCTTCGAAAATCGGTTTAGCATTCTTGTTTCGATAGACGGGAGACTCTACATAAGTTGCACACACCACAACACAACCACAACCAAAACAACACAACACACACACACAACGCACGTTACGCACCGCACAACCACGCACACCGGCGCAACCAACACACAAACACAACACACCACACACAACGCACGCCACACGCCAACAACAAACACACACAACACACCCAACAACGCGGGCCGTACACCAACACACACACAACACACACACAACATACACCAACCACATACAACACACCAACGCACACACCGCACGCACACACACACACACACAACAGGCACGGGCACGCACAAACACGCCACACACGGAACCACAACGCACAACACCGCACGCAACCCAACCCCAGCGCACGTGCACCACCGCACGGACAACGCACGCAACATTTACTTTTCCCAATAAAACGTTTCAGACATGGAAAGTGTCGAACCATGTGCCCTCACTTCGGGGAGGGGAAGACAAAACTAACCTGGGTCGTGTAGAAACCCCTTAGGTTTCTAGGGGACTTGTCGGGCACATTTAGGCCTTGGTCGACCGGTCTTGGTTGGACACTCAATTTGCCTCCTTACTATCCGGTCAAAATTCTGGACAAAAGTTGTTCAAAAAATCTTTTCCGGACACAGGAAGAGTGAAGTCTCCCTTTTGCCTGGTGTTCCTAGGGTCACTTTCTGGAAGTCACAAAATTCTCAAAGGACTTCGTTCTTTTGATTAAAAATTTACTCATTATTCGTCGATTTTTATGCTTAACTTGAATTAGTATCTTTCTTACGTCCCATGATGGTTCTCAAAACAAAAAAATTCCCACTTTTTTTCTTGGATTAAAATTTTAAGGACTTACCGTGTGTTCCTATATAACAGGGTTTTTAGTGGTAAATTTCTTTTTCTTTTTTCCTTTCGACTTCGGATTAACATTCGTTAAACGGGTACTACTTGTCGTGCGGCAATCCTTGGGATGGGAGTAATTAAATTTTACAAATACGGTTAGTGTTACACCCTTAATTCGTGTTCTTTGCTTCGTTTCATAAACCTATTCCGTTTATAACTTTATAAGAAATCCCACACCGACGTCTTTTCAGGTCATGTATGATGCTGAGTGAGTGAGTTTAGAGTTGAGTCACTTGAAAAACTAAAGTGAAACTTGATTTATTCTATTGCAGGGTCTGATTATTATATTGTTGACACTTTAAAATACTACTATCCAACTAAAATGCGGTACAAACCAGATTTATTATTAAATAAAAAAAAAAAATAAAAAAAAATGTAAAAAAAAAAATCACATTTTTTTCCTTTATTTTTCAATGTCGCGATAAATATCGTACCGTTGACTTTTTATCGCGATATTATCGTACCGTGAGTTTTTGGTATCGTTACATCCCTAGAAAATACATATTCTGTGTTAAATAAAGCATGTGGTTAAAGCCTCCACAGCATTTAGTTCTTCCCCTTGTTGTTGCGTAAATCAACATTTGTAATCTTCTGTTTACTACAGACCTTGTTATTGCTAACTCCCTCTGTTGACTGCTAATGTGTTTGCCTCCAGGGCCAAACACTCTGCATGTTCTCTGCCTGGACTTTGGAGAACATGAGGCTGTGTTTGGTTTATGAACACACTGAGGATATGTCAAGTGATTGTGACAGTTCAGATGATATGCTTTGTATTTGACTATGATATATGATGCTGTCACGGAGTCACACATTTCACATCTCATAATGTACTCTACCTATAGTATTCGTGGTATGATTTGGTGTTTTTGAGTTAATAGGAGCCCCCATATTGTAAAACGTGAAAAAAGAAGCAGGCCACAGAAAGCCTGCAGCAGGAGATTCTGGTGTGTGTGTTGTGCTCATATGGAGAGCAGTGCACAATGAATACATCCCCCTGGAAAGAGCTCTGCAGACACACTACCTGTTTTAGGAGCTATTTGTGTGCATTGACCTACATTGGAGTTAGAGAAAGTCTTGTTCATGAAACTTCCAGATATTTAACTGTATCAAAGCAAAAGGGTTTTTCAGATAGAAACTCTATTCAAGTCTTCAGACCAATACCTATACTGTGTAACACACTACAGGAAAGGAAATAACACAAAAGGCATAATAGGACCTCTGGAAACATCTTCTCTCTCTCTCTCTCTCTCTCTCTGCATGTGTGTGTATGTATGTGTGTGTGTGTGTGTGTGTGTGTGTGTGTGTGTGTGTGTGTGTGTGTGTGTGTGTGTGTGTGTGTGTGTGTGTGTGTGTGTCACTTGTTACAGGGAAGAGAAACGTGCAGGTTACCTACCTATACAAAAAATAACACGATATCATCAACTGTCCTGTCAGTACTTAAGGTAATGATAACACGTTTATTTTTGCAAGTGCGTTTACAGGTGCTCAAAGAAGTGTAAAACTAAAGTCAAATAAAAATAATAATAAAACATTAACACAAGGACACAACGTTAATCACACATTAAAAGCAAGTCTTAACAGGGGATTTTTTGGTCAGTGTTTTGAAGGCGGGGAGGTCAGTGCTGTGTTGTGGGACTGAGTTCCAGAGAGAGGGGGCAGCGATGGAGAAGGCTCCGTCCCCCCAGAAAGCCTGGTTGTTGAGTGCTTTGGGATTTTTAAAATGTATTCGTTGAAGGACGGGGGGGAAGTGGTCTCGGTGATATGGTCTTCTGGATATAAAAGTGACTTGTCAACCATCTGGATACAGTGCAGTGAAGTGCATAAAGGAACTGAATTGCATTTCCCAATAAACCTGTTATTTCCGTTTTTATAAACAACTCGAGCTTCTCTAAAATCTTTCGGTTCATAAGTGCCTCTTTTTGTGAATGACTGCCCTTCTGTCTACATAATGCAATGAATGGTGCATTATCTCACTCTTCACTGTGGGATTAAGCATCAAGTGTTTATTAAGTAGGATTATATATTGCTTGTACTGTAGCTGTGTATGCATAGTATACAATCCATTCCAGAACTCCTTGCTGCCAAAGAGAGGCAAATATATGTTATTAATCATTTGGTTTGCAGCTCTACGTCTCACCCATCGCCCTGCCTACATGTTTCACATTATTTCTAATCATTTTCATTCTAAATGTATTAAAACCTCCTCTCCTTCCTGTTCTCGCGCTGCAGATCACCCTCGCTGTCTGCTTTGTCCTAATGTTCGGAAACTCCATGCTGCTCACGTCCTTCTACGCCTCCTCGCTCGTCTCCATCTGGGTGAGTAGAAACTCTAGAGAACAATATATCCTGCATCATCGAATGTTTAATGCAGAGGGTCACTCAAGATTAGTTCAATTTGATCAATGCATCCTGCTGGTTATACTGTGCATTAGGTTGAGTAAACAGCAAAATGCAAAACCACTAATAATGTGTGTTGGTGACTTGGACTTCTTTTATTATGTTTTGGTCATTTCTTTCCAGGCAATCATCGCATTGAGGGATCGATTTGTTCAACTCTTCAGACCTGGCATCGTCATGTGGGTATGTTGAAATGATTTTCCTTCTTATGTTTGGAGGGATACATTTCATTCTGCCTCTTTGTTATGGAAGAGATACCCAGATGGAGCTATAAAGCAGTCTCTTTCATTTTTAAATAAAGATGCTATTGATTATGCAGCCTTGATTTGGATCAGTTAGTTTGTTTCTCATTTAAATGAACAATAAAGCTAAAAATGTTTAAATGTTTGAACAGTCCAGAGCCCTCTTTGGTCGTTCCCAACTCTACAGCACTTTACGGCTTTAATTACAGATTGCTGTCCTGAGTTGTGTGTGTACACGTCAGGCTGTCAGTGTGTATCTCCTCTCCCTCCTCAGGTCATGCAGGGCTTCGCTTGGGTCGGCTCCACAGTTCTGCTCAAATTCCTGCTGTCCACGGTCCTCTGCGCCTCAGATGATGTAAGCTGCAGCAACTTTACCTAAAAATAAAAAGTCATGTGGCTGGAAAAAATGCTAATATTTGAATATGGTTGAAAGCAGAATGATCATTTTATAACTTCATTAAAACAATAGTAATGACTTTGAATGGTTTTATTGCTTAGAAAATCTCTGATATTCACCGAGATTCAAGATTTATACATTTTTCTAGTATCTTACAAACATATTTCACTCTTATACATTTTTGTTATTATTCTCAGAGAATGTTCAAGTTTTTTTTCTCAGACATCTACCTTTTTTAATCCGTCAAATTCACAGATTTTACTCCCTAATATATCCCTCTTCTCTTTCTCTGTTTTGCCTCAAATTGCTCTATCAGTTCACGTACCGTTAAATGCTTAATAAAGGCAAATCTGAAACAGGTACTGTCAAAAAATTAGGAACATATAGGGTAGTCAACCCGCAATTGAAAACCCAGCTGCAGAGGTTTGGATTGGCTTTCTGAGAGCTAACAGCTTAATATAAAGTGTCTTATCGTTTCATTCTGACATCAGAAATGTTGGAATTAAATCAACAACAATTTCAAATGCATTCACAAATTTAAAATCATGAAAGAAAGTTTTCTGTTAATGAAAAAATACAAAAACATGTCTGTAATATGTCTCTTTTTTGTGTCTCTTCCAGGCGCACATCAGTGGACTGATAAAGTCTAAGTTCACGAGCTACAAAGACTTCCACACTCTGATGTACACGTGTGCTGCAGAGTTTGACTTCCTGGAGTTAGAGGTAAAGTTTGTTTTCACCAAAATCTGGATCTCAACAAGATTAACAAATAATCCTCCTTGTGACTTTGTTTGCTAAAGTGTTCTCTGAGATCAATCTGAGGTGGATTGGTGTGAAAAACATTTATTTTGATCAGAATAAACCTGCTGTTTTATATCAAAGAGTCTGATATGTTCCAGCAGGCATCAGAGCACAGGGAACGTAAGTTACGACTAACTACGGTTCTATGAATCCCGGATGACCGCCAGAGGCGGTGCTTTAAGCACTGGATATGTCCATCGCGCGCATGCGCAGGTCGAGTACCAATAGCAACAAAGTCACCTCTGACCCCACGTGACAACGGGCTATATCTGCCGGTGTCGTCAGAGGATCTATTCACAGAATCTTCTTGCGAGAACACAAGGATTCTGAGTGACAGGATACTCTGGCGGCCATCCGGGATTCATAGAACCGTAGTTACAGTCGTAACTTACATTCTATTTCATCCCTACTGACTGCCAGAGGCGGTGCTCTAAGCACTGGATGACTTATACCAACAATGTCATGAAGAATCCAAGCTTAGACAAAAGGCTCTGTGACACCCGGAGTAGCTGTGCGGACCTGGTGCCCCCCTGATGGTTGATCTGGGCAACAGTGGACATGTTGCTTAAATTAATAAATTTAAATAAATAAAACACGATATAATAATATGCATTCATTATGACAACATCATACTATTACTATATAGGAGTGTTCTATAGTGTGTTCAAAAAACAACTACAGAAACAATATATTATACTATAGTTATACTATTTAAAATAATATAGGAATACTACAAAGAGCTAGATACATAGTATTACCATTGAAATATTATAGGGCTACTATAGCTAGTAAAATGGCACTACAGAAAAAACTATAGTAATACGATAGCTGGTGAAAAATACAGAACACAAACTGACTATAGGACACTTTACAACTCTTACAGTATACTATAGTAATATAGTTCATTTATAGTTCATTTCGTAAGGGGGGTGCGTACAGCAGACAGTAGCTAGCAGTTTTCGACAGATACAGCTCACTCAAAAATATATTGTTTTATATAAAATGAATTGATATATATATATATATATATATATTAGTTTTACACTTTACGAATATAATGGTTTTTTATGGACATCTTTACCATTCAATCTCGTCCAACTGATCTTGCTGCTGTCACGAGGAAATATGACCAAACGTTAGGATACACCGTCGCAACACGGCTCGTAAGTTTAATGTAAAACTCCAAGGTCGAAATAGACGCAAAAGGAGCAAATTAATCAACCCGTCGTCGCACCTAAGTCGGGATTGATACAAACACAATAAATAATCATAACGATACAGTCCGGCGAAACCGACTTGAACAATATCTCGTGTCCTAAAATAGGCACGACAAAAAATAAAAACTCGGGTTGAATGACCGAATCGTAAACACAATAAACTGAACCTGAACGACCTCTTCGTCTGTGCGGCGAGGGTGGGGCCTTTGCATAACGAACTACAATCGAGTCGTGGGCGAGCGGGATTGTAGACGTCAGACACTTGGAAGGTAATAATGTGAGTCGACCACTTCCGTCACGAGAGCGCGGGTTCTATTGTTATACGAAACCTATTGTCAGTATTAGTCGCGACTTTTGTTCGGTGAGTGCTCGCCTTTTACACGCAAATGTGGCGTATTTTACTGGGAGACGCGCGTCTAATTTGGGGGCACTCGTTCTCTGTCGGGAGGCTACGATTTCGAGCGCCCTCACAGTCGGGAGTGAGGGGGCCGCCTCAGACAGACGCGCGCCGCACTTTTCAAGACTGTCGTAACCCCCGCCTTTCGGGGGGTCGACCTGCCCACTACTGTCGACGCGGTCCCTTTGTGACCTCACCGGTCCAAAACTATTTACGGCTTGATGGTT